TCCAAAAGCTTCAGCCAAGCTCCAAAAGCTTCAGCGAAGCTCCAAAAGCTTCAGCGAAGCTCCAAAAGCTTCAGCGAAGCTCCAAAAGCTTCAGCGAAGCTCCAAAAGCTTCAGCGAAGCTCCAAAAGCTTTAACGAACTTTCAAGAACTTCAGCAAAGTTTCAAGAACTTAAGCGATGGTTCAAAAAATTCAGCGAAGCTCCAAGAACTTAGTAAAGTTTAGTTAAAAATCAATAAAGTTTCAAACACTTCAGAAAAGTTCAGAATATGTCAGCAAAATTCCAAAGACTTCAAAGAAATTCCAAAAACTTCGGAGACATCTCGAGATTTTCGGAGAAATTCCGAGAATTTTTTATAAGCTTTGAAAATTTTAGCACTGGGTCAAGAAATTAAGCGAAGATCCAAGAACTTAAACAAAGTTTTAACAAAAAAAAAAGTTTCAAACACTTCAGCAATGTTCAAAACACTTAAGCAAAATTAGAAGTTCTGAGAACTTCAGCGAAGCTCCAATAATTTCTGCAAAACTCCAAGAACTTCAGCGATGGTTCATGAAATTCAGAGAAGCTCCAAGATCATAAGCAAAGTTTAATTAAAAATCACCAAAGTATCAAAAACTTCAGAAAGATCAGGAAATTTCAGCAAAATTTCAAGGTTCTCGGAGAAATTTCAGAAACTTCGGAGACATTTCGAAATCTTTGGAGAAATTCCGAAAGCTTCTGAGAAGTTGTGAGAATTTCAGCAAAACTCAAAAAAATTCTGCAAAACTCAAAGAATTTCTGCAAAACTCAAAGAATTTCTGCAAAACTTCAAGAACTTCAACGATGGTTCAATAAATTCAGCAAAGCTCCAAGAACATAAGCAAAGTTTTAGAAACTTGCGAAATGCCCCAGAACATTGAACAAATTTCTAAAACATTGAAGAAGCTCCAAAAAGTTCTGCGAAAATCCAAAAACTTCGGAAAAGTGCCATGAACTTCAGAAAAGTGCTGAGATCCAAAAACTTTGGAGTAGTTCAAGGTCTTGACGGAAGCTCCAGTATCTCCAGTATCAGAAGCTTCGAAAAATTCAGTGAATTTGTAACAATCTCAGTGAAGGTCCAAAAATGTCAGTGATGATCCAAGAGCAAAGTTTAAAAAATTAACCTAAGTTTCAAACACGTCAGCAAAGTTCGAAACACTTCAGCAAAATTTCAAGAACTTTGATGAGTTTCCAAAAACTTTGGAGACATTTCAAGATCTTTTAAGAAATTCTGAGAACTTTTGAGAAGCTCTGAAAACTTCAGTGAAGCTCCAAGAACTTCAGAGAAGCTCAAAGAACTTAAGCAAAGTTTCAGAAACTTGAGCAAAGTTTAATTAAAAATCACCAAAGTTTCAAACACTTCAGAGAGATAAGAAAATTTCAGCAAAATTTCAAGGTTTTCGGAAAAATTTCAAAAACTTCGGAGACATTTCGGGGTTTTTTGGAGAAATTCCAGAGCTTCTGAGAAGTTGTTAGAACTTCAGTAAAACTCAAATAATTTCTGCAAAACTCCAAGAACTTCAACGATGGTTCAAGAAATTCAGCAAAGCTCCAAGAACATAAGCAAAGTTTTAGAAACTTGAGAAGTGCCCCAGAACATTTGAACAAATTTCTAAAACATTGGAGAAGCTCCAAAAAGTTTTGCGAAAATCAAAAAACTTCGGAAAAGTGCCACGAACTTCAGTAAAGTGCCGCGATCTAAAAACTTTGGAGTAGTTCAAGGTCTTGACGGAAGCTCCAGTATCTCCAGTATCAGAAGCTCCGAAAAATTCAGCAAAGTTGTAATAATTTCAGTGAAAGTCCAAAAATGTCAATGAAAATCCAAGAGCAAAGTTTAAAAAATCAACCTAAGTTTCAGACACGTCAGCAAAGTCCAAAACACTTCAGCAAAATTTCAAGAGCTTTGGAGAATTTCCAAAAACTTCAGAGACATTCCAAGACCTTTTAAGAAATTCTGAGAACTTTTGAGAAGCTCTGAAAACTTCAGTGAAGCTCCAAGAACTTCAGCGGAGCTTCAAGAACTTCAGCGAAAATCCAATAACTTCAGCGAAACTTCAACAACTTCAGCGCAGCTCCAAGAATTTGTGCAAAGTTTCAGAAACTTGAGCAAAGTTTCAGAAACTTGAGCAAAGTTTAATTAAAAATCACCAAAGTTTCATACACTTTAGAAAAGTTCAGTACATTTCAGCAAAATTTTAAGGACTTCGGAGAAATTCCTAAAACTTCAGAAAAATTCCTAAAACTTCGGAGAAACTCCTAAAACTTCGGAAAAATTCCTAAAACTTCGGAGACATTCCGAGATCTTTGGAGAAATAATGATAGTTTCTGAGAAGTTCTGAGAACTTCAGAAATACTCCAAGAACTTCTGCGAAGCTCCAAGAACTTCAGCGATAATTCAAGAAATTCAACAAAGCTGCAAGAACTTCAGCCAAGTAAAATTAAATCACCACAGAAATGTTCAAAACACTTCAGCAAAATTTCGAGAACTTCAAAAACAAATCCAAACACTTCGGAAACATTTCAAGATCTTTGCAAAAATTCCGAGAATTTCTGAAAAGTTCTGAGAACTTCTTTAGAAGCACCAATATCTTCAGCAAAACATCGGATAAGTGCCGAGAACTTCAGAAAAGTGTCGAGATCCAAAAACTGAAGAGTAGTTCAAGGTCTTGAGATAAGCTTCGATACCTTTACTAATTCTCCAAAAAAATCAGCAAAGTTGTAATACTTTCAGCGAAGTTCCAAAAATTTCAGCGATGTTCCATGAGCAAAGTTTAAAAAATCTCCAAAGTTTCAGCAAAGTGCAAAACACTTCAGCAGCGGCGCCGGTGGTGCAGTGGTAAGTGTGATTATCTCTCACCCCAGCAGGCCTGGGTTCAATCCCAGTCGGCGCCGCCGGGATGTTCTGAGGCATAACATCTCTGATCACGCCTTCCTTCGGAAGGGAAGTAAAAGCCGTTGGTCCCCGGTTCATGAGTAGGTCGATAGGTGTGGAAGCTGCCTCTCTGGCATCGATAGCACTGGTGCTCAGCACGGAAACCAAGATCGATGGAAAACAAATCAAGGAAAAAAACACTTCAGCAATATTTCAAGATCTTTGGAGCAATTCCAAAAACTTAGGAGACATCCCGAGATCTTTGGAGAAATTTTGAGAACTTCTGAGATGTTATGAAAACTTTAGCGAAGCTCCAAGAACTGAAGTGATGGTTCAAGAAAGTCAGCGAAGCTCCTAGAACTTCAGCAAAGTTCCACGAGCTTCAGGAAATCTTCAAGAACCTAAGCAAAGTTCCAAAAACTTATGCGAAGTTAAAAACTACAAGGGACAGCCCTATGAGGTTGTACGCAATGGTGACGTAGGACTACGTGGTCTTATATAAAAAAATCTTATTTGTTAACTGCAGCAGGAGTTTGTGTTTTGTGTAGGAATGGGAATTTGAGCGCTTGACATAGCTACTGATTCCGATCAATAGCGGTGCGGCTTCTTCCTCCTTCTATGAATGCTTTTGTGGGCTGCAGCTCGCTGCTTGCAGGCAGCCTTTCGTTGTGTACTGGAGAACACCACTACCACCACGCGGTGATTGAATAAACACCGTTTGGTGAGACTGGATGGAATTCAACTTTGAAATCTGTGTCAGGGAAATCGCTTTTCGCAAGCAATCGGTGATAATTTAGCAACAGTTGCACAATCCTGCAATTTTCAATAGTGAAATTTTGAAAAATTGTGAAGTTTTAAATTTAACAGATGCGTAGAAATATAGCTGATCGATTGGTGATAAAATTATTGAAATTGGTCCAGGGGCAGCTTAGTTATTAACGTTCAAAATCTTTCATAATTTTGTTACATGTTCCATTTTTGGGTTACACAAAGTATACTCACATATAGATAAGACAGACGTAGTCCTACGTTAAAAAAATGTCAATAGCTTCAGAGAAGTTTCAGAAACTTCAGCAAATTTTATATATCTTCAACAAAAAGACCCGCTTATCTCTGATTTGCAACAGCCTCTCAAGATTCTGAAACGTTGTAGAGCGCAGATATTTCTCACCAAAGATGCCATCAACTGCCTGGCAGAATTCCCAATGATATTTTCGAGCAGTCGACTCTCCTTTGCCCAGTTTCAGGCCAAATAGGATTAACAAATACAAATTTATGACTCGACTTTCTCCGATTTGCATGAAACTTATTGCAACAGTTCGTCAATTTTGGATCTTGTATTTTTTTTTAAATGGCATTTTTAAAACCATTTTGAATAAAATTACAACATCCAGAATGGTCGAATTTTTGTAAAAATGTGAATGATTGCCCAGGCAAAGTTTTATGCAAATCGGAGAAGGTCAAGTTTTTCCGATTCGTCATTTGGTGTGCAACGTTCCTTTCCAAACATACTCGTCGGTAGCATTTGGAGGCGATCGGTACGTCAATAGTCAGATTACTTCCTTGCATTTTTATAGGTTTGTCAATCCTCACTTTCTGGTTGCATACAGCTTTTGGATAAAGTTTTCCTTCCACTCCAATGCCATTGCAATCAAAATACAAGAACAAACACTTACGCATATGGGCTCCGTTGGACATGCTTGCAAATCTTATGTTAAATACTTTTCAAACTATTTAAATGCTAACCAATTCTTCTCTCCTTTTCTTCAGAAACTCCTTTCATCGAGCCCAACCCACGATCCAGCAGCCCGGTCGACCTTAGTAGCGCTCGTAGAACTAACCTAGAGCGTGCTCATGGAACTTATCGTAAACCGACCTATAGTTTCCATTGCACATATCGCCAATCACCGCGTCGTCGCAGCCACCGAAGCACGTTTCCTTCCATGCGGCAACGCGCTTCCAGCTAGATCGTAAACCAACTGCAGTAGCAGTCGCAATAAAATACTCCGGTTGAGTTTTTGTAGTGTAAAGTGAATTGAAGCAGTCCCCAAGTGCATAGTTGTTAAACGATAAAAACAAATGAGCGCAAACCAAAGCTTCGCAGTTCGAGTGTTAGTCAGCCAGAGCCAATGATCCGTAGAGTAGTCGTCGTTGGTCGTTCCGGTCGAAAATCGTGCTCGTGGGCTTTTCTCGAAAGAGGCTTATTCAGCAATAGCGCAACGTGATCGAAAGTGAAAACAAATATATAACACACACACACACATAAGTCACTAACGTCGTCTGGGGAACCGATTAGAGACGGTCTGCCGTCGTCGACTAAGCCATTATGTGCGTTGTTAGGAAGATGTGATGGCCAGTTTGCGGTGTTGATGTTGATGGAAAGTTTAAAATAAATCGTAAATTATAGATTTACGCCTTGCAATCTCCGGGGTCCGTTCGGGGCGATTCGATTTGTGGCGACGACGACGTGTAATATAGTGATCCATTTCGAACCACCGAGTGCGAGAAGCCGACAGTGATTAGACGCCGGCTTACGGTCGAGTTTCGAGATTGTGGTTTGAAAGTGACAGTGAGTCATTCGGAATTTCGATACAAGTCAATGGCCGGTTTAAGGGAAGATTAGGATAGGTTCAATTGGAAGGTGTGTGGTCGTGGCTTGAAGTTGTGCAATGGAAGCGGACGTTCTGAATGCGTTGAATACGCAGACGGCGTACATCCCGGGAGGACGAGATCGCGATGGACATCCGTTGATCGTCATACCGGTGCCGTTCTACGATAACCTACCGTGGATGAAGGGATTCCTGGAAACGACCGTCAAGTACCTTTTGTCTTCACTCAGGTTGGATGAAGATTTTGCAAATTTAAAACTTCAAACTGAATTTGTCTTTTAAATCTCCCCCCAGCACGGAAACCATCAGCCATGGCTTTGCAGTGACCCTGGATGCGCAGAAATGCTCCTGGCGATCGGCACGGCAGTACATCCGACACGTCCACACGCTTCTGGGCCCAAACCTGGACAGCTTTCTCGTCATTCGACCGGACGCCTTTTGGGAAAAGAATCGCGTCGAAAACTGCGCCCGTCATCATCGACAGGGAGAGGTAAGTGGCAATTATTTGATTAACTTCGGGCAATGACAGCCACGAATTGTTGGCTTGATAGAACTGATAAGATACCCGAGCAAAGTCCAAAATCAACGTCAATAGTTTGATTTCAGTTTACGATTGTGAAAAAAATATATGAATTTTGTGTTTTCATTTTGCTGTACTTTTGATCTACATCCAATTTGCTGTTGATTTTGAAACTAAAAATGTGTTGTTGATTTGTTTTGATTGCATTGGCATTAAAATTGAATATTAGTTTTGTTACCAACAGAAAAAATGAACTTCAAATTTAGTTTTCATTTTGATCCCAGGTAGGGTGAAATGTTCCCACGAAGAATTACGAAATTACGGGACAGACAAACCACGGCGCTGTACGGTGAGAACAGTTCTGTGTAGTTGATAAGCCCTGGGATGCAATTTTCCGGCCATTAGCGTCGTCTTGTTGAAGTAATCAAATTGCAAATCTCGATTGGTGGTAATTGCTGATTTGCTACCGGTTTCAAAGATTGCGGCAAACGTAGAACATTGCAGTTAATTCACTTTGCCATTTATGTTATCTATGAACGTGTTATTCAATTATTTTTCGTCACTGGGTACTGGCATCTGCCTACCATGACAACAAGTAGTGTCAACTGTCTCGAAACTTGTATAACATATGTTAAAATGCATCTCTGAATCGTGGCTACTATTTTCACGAGGCTCTTACACAATAACTGTATGAACCAATATGATAGTTATAATTAGAATAGCATAGCATAAATGGAATTGCAAAAAATCGTAGCTGTTACGACCTCTAAACGGTTGTTAAGAAGAAGACTCACCTTCAGGGCGTCACAATATCAGCTTCAATCGACCAAATCGATGCGACGAAGAGACTGCTGGCTTTCTTTTTCTGTTAAAGTCGAACAGCTTCGCAGCATTCTAGAACCTCAGTCGGCGTGCACAAACAAATGTTCAATCGCTTGTCTCTCTTTCTCCCGTCGCTCCATTGGTCTTCCTTTCAAGCTTCGTCGAAATGGATGAGCGAAAGAGCGCTCGACTTTGATAGTTTTCTCTTTCATGAAACACATCAACAGAGGTTTCATGAAGTATATGACGGAAAATGAAATAACACATTTAAAGCATTTCTCACGTCAAAACACTTGAAGATTACACGTCATATTTCTAATTTATCTTCCATCCATATATTTATCTAAAAAAAATGATCGAAAACGGGACATAACGCATTTTAAACAAATTGAAAGAGCGGCGATAGAGTGTTCGTGAAAGGGGATTGAAAGCCATTATGAAGTTCGTTTAACTAGAAAATCGACGTTATTTACATTGAAAGCGATGAGCAAAGCAACGACGAGAAGTTCCACAGCCAGCCTTTCCTTCCAAGCGTCCTTCTTTTTTATTTTCGTTTCTTGCTGATAGCCTAGCTAGGCGTTATAGAAATGAAGCGTCGAACACGTATGTATGAGAGAAACAAAACACGAGTTCATTTTAGAGCTTCGAAATTGTAGAGCCCTGCTCACCTTCAACCGTTACTGTTAGACAGGGATGGAAAATCATTTACATTCATTTCGTGCATTCATTTACATTCATTTGCCTCTAACTTTTTTCATCAACAGAATACCGTTAAATGATGTATGAAGCTTTTGTAGCTTTTGATATTAACTACAACTTTTGTTAATAACTAAAATATGAATCTCTAATGCATGATGAAATAGAGCTGGCAGAACATGTTATTGTTTTTCAGTGAATGCAATTTACATTCACTGAAAAACAATGGTGGATTCTAATCACTCTGATTCATCATGCATAAGAGATACAGATTTGAGTTGTTGATAAAAAATGTAGCTAACATAAAAGCCTACAAAAGCTTTAAACACTATTTTACGGAATTTTGCTGATAAAAAAAGTTAGAGGCAAATGAATGTAAATGAATGCACGGAATGAATGTAAATGATTTTCCATCCCTGCTGTTAGATAATAATTTGGGATTAATCACTACCTCAACAATCCAGAGCTGTCCTGGCTACGTCCTTGCAACTGGTGGTGAAAGGGATGGAATGTTAGTCCGACATTTATTTAAGAGATGTGCAGTGAAATGTCACGAGATGCAGGAGGATTAGTAGGGATCAATGAATCCAAACACATAAAGTAACCAACGATACATACAAAACGGTTGCTACGACTACCATGACAAACTCGCTCTGCAACATAGCTCGATTGGAGTGGTAGAAGGATAATGATATATTGCTTGCCTGCTTTGTTGCAACATACATGATTGACGACATAGCTTGATCGGAATCGGGAAAAGAAATAACAAAAAAAATCCCATTAGCACACGTGTCAGTGCTGCCAAATCTAGAAAATAAACGGTGATATTGAGGATTTTTCTTTGGTCATTCATTTGAGATAAGCAACACAATTACATGGAGCCATTAAATTGAACAATCATCTATGTTATAAACTGCTTGGATAACAATACTGTGACACATAATGCACGAAATTACACATTTTGTTACCAGGTGAATCTTTGTCGTTGACATAAAAATTAATTATATTTTTACGAAGGTTTTTTAAAGAATCAAGTCTGTCAGTGACTAGGCGAAAAACAATTTTGACAATATCGCGCGAAAGTCTGTCAATGACAATGACAAATCTTCGGCTTTACTTCGTGAAGCAGCTTGCCAACAATTTCGTCAATTCCATCTACCGGCCTGGAAAAGCTGTTTGTCATGAATAAAAAAGTAGAATATTAAATCAGTCATGTATTGCGGAAATGTTTCGGTGGCCCCGAGAAAACGACCGATTCACGACAAGAACCAAAACCCGTGCAACTTATCAAAATTTATGATTTTGTAGAACTCGGCCAGTAATATCCTTATTCAGAGTCCACATTTCTCGACAACCTCTGAATCTAATTGGTCTTGTTGCTAGTTGAGTCTCACCTTGCATGCAAGATGAAAAGCGGCAAGATGGTAAAATATAAATGTCCTCAAAAGCATTCTTATTAGTGGTCGCTGCCAAAAGCTACTTTCTTCTCTTGTTTAGAGAGCCTTTCGGTTTTTCGTCTTTTCGGATTCAATGAAGAACCTGGAGTGAGCTTCGAATTTGATTTTATTCCAAAAATGTGTTCAAAGTGACCTTACACGGAGAACAAATTCGTTAAGTTAAATTAACAATCCTAATGGTCGCTTTCACATGGACAAAGATTACTGTTTAGAAGAAACATATACACTGAAAAAATTCTGAATTTTACTGGTGATGTAAAAATCCATGCCTGCAAACATTCATGCATGTAAACTTCCTTTTCACGTAAACTAGCAGCTTGCAAGAAATGTTGCAAACAAAGATTAACAGTTGCATACAATATATGTCATGACATGTCTAATAAATTTACACGATCTATAATTTAAACTTCAATGATGTAGCGTGAAGCGTTTATATGCATCATAGTAACGGAAATTTACACTACTTTGTTTAGCTGTGTACACACTACGAAAAAGACATGTAAATTTCAGTGCCCTGAGACCGACACATGCAAGCGGCCCTTTTGACATAAGAATCAGTAGAAAAGGACGAGAAAATCAATTTAATCAAACGCACTTATCATCGAGTTGCATATGTTTCAGTTTCAGGACCCTTAATTTTACATACCATGTTTGTTTACGTTCCATGATTTACGTCAAAGTTGAATTACGTCTCGTGTAAAAATAGTAATTTCTAAGTGTGTAGTTATTCCAACAATAACTTGACCGTCAACGCAATCAACTCAACTATAACTTCGATAAATTTTAACAACCGTCAAATACAAAGTATGTTGTAAATCTCTACTAACCTCGAGAAGACCGCGAGTAATCGGTTCAGTTCCTTTAAATCTAGATTTAAGACATCAATTATGTGTAACGCAAATGATAACTTGGCTCTGTAAAGTTTATTCGATTAAGCCTGTACAAATAAATAAATTAATAAAAAAAATACAGAGTATGTATTTTATTTGGTTTCAACTCATCATCATAAATCCACATGCTTTTAACTTGTGAGACGTGGCGTACAGTGCTGCAAAATCTCGACAGTACACGATGATATTGACAATTCTGCTTTGGTCACTCATTTGAGCTAACAGTCATAGTCAAGGCAAACCATGTCAATTGTCAATGACAATGGTGTCAGTGACGAACATGTGCAGATTTGTTTATTAGCTAAATTTGTAACGAAATTAAATGACTTGAGCAAAATAATTACATGGATCCATTTTAATGAACAAGTATCTACGTCCTGAGCTACTTGGATAACAATAATGTAACACAGAATGTACAAAATTACACTTTTTGTTATCAGGTGAATCTTTGTCATTGACGAAAAAATGAATGAGATTTTGACGAAGGTTTTTTTGAGGATAAAGTCTGTCAGTGACTATGTGACGAACAATTTTGTCAATATCGCGCGAAAGTCTGTCAATGACAATGACAAATCTCAGCACTGGTAGCGTAGGTGATAAGATAGCTGAATATCACGCAGAGGAACACGGTTCAAATCTAAGTTGAAAATTCATGCTGATTTTCCTAAGATTTTGCAGTAGTGTTTTTTTTTAACATTGTGTATAGATTTTTTTTATCTTGGCTGGTGGTTAAACAGATGTTTGTTGATTTATCGCTTTAGTTTGTATTTTAGTTTTGGTTTTAGTTTAGTATTGAAATAAACTGTATGAAATTAGATATATTTTAGTAAAACGCTCAATTTTCAACTTTTTACCTAGTGGACGAATTTTAGTAAAATTAGTGAAATATGAATGATCTTTATTATGACTAAAAATTAGCAAAATTAAAAAAGTTTAGCTCATAATAATTCAAGATATTACGGTTTTTTAAGGAAAAGGCGTTTTTCTCAAATATCTCTTACTTTTAATAAATTCAACTTAATAAGCCCAACACTGTACCAATAATTGATAAATTTATGATAATGCAGACAGAAATTCAGAAACGTATCTCTTTCAATTGTACTTT